TCCTGCGGCGTCCCACTAAGGCGGGGGGAAGGGATGTCGGGTTTTAGTGGGTAGTACCGGCTCTTCTAGCCGGTGAGCCCCACATCACCACCTGGGGGATCAGGTGGTATGCGTAAATGCATTTCCCGACGATAAAAAAAAAAGGGAACTTGGAAATTGCAAGAAATGATCCTTAATTTCTTTAGTACGGTACCGTTGTAATATTTATAATTTTGAGGAGAATTTTTACAAGATAAATAAGTAGTATGGGGGGTTGACAGATATAATTCCAAAAATGCAGATAAGTCAAAGGTTCTATTCCTTAATAAACATACCTATATAAAACTATGAAAATTAAGTTTTAAAACAGACGTTTTAATTCTATCAAGTATAATAATAAAAACAACATTTTTCAAGTAAACTATTTCTAATAAAAGCGACAACTTTTTTAAATAAGTTTCAGTTACATAAGTGAAACAAACTGAGTTCCCATAGTTGAACATAAAGTTTAAGAATACGTCGTAAAAATAGCGATAAGTGGACATGTTGTTTAACCTTGAACATTCAACTTTACACAAGCACCTATAGAGCATTACTTAAACATAGAGAAAAGCTACTTTTTACATTGTATATAAGTAATGGTACTCTAAGTAAATAAATAATAAACTTAGGTACTATAGGGCTTAGACAAAGTATGATTCAAAAAATTTTGAAGAATAGAAATTTGAATTTTTTTGTAGATTTATATTCCTCAACGACTGAAGGATCTTCTTTAAGCTTCCATTTTCGTAAGATTATTTTGTGATGAATGTCATGTTTTTTGAGTTCCCTTATAATTTCAATATGTCCGTCTACGCCTATATTACAGACATTTTATTGGAGCGGATTAAATACGTATGTATATAGCTGGCATTTGGTAAGTACTAAGTAGGTGTCTCATGTTAACCGCAAGAAAAATAAAAAATTAAGGGTAGAACTCGTTATAGATATAGGTACGTAACTCAGTTACTAAAAAATCTATGTAAACTAAATTAACGTACCAAAAGAATTAAATCAGACAAAGATTTTTCATTATATATATTCGATAAAATTAAATTCATATTGACTCACCCTTATTGAGGGTACACCTTTATTTATACTGTATTAAAGTCGGCAAAGATGTCGCGCTATATACAAACAATAAAAACACATGGTCTTCCGTTTTGAATTCAAATTGAATTCAAATTTCATTTATAAGATATATATTATAAGTAAAATAGGGTTAGTTTTTGCGGTTTTATAGCGTATTAATACAGTCCAGTGCATAAAAATTCAACTTTCTATCACCATGTCTAGACACACGTGAATCACTTTCGAGATTGTTATCTAGGTTTTCAATAACTTAATATCTTTTTGTCTTTGGCGAAAATATTTTACATTTCTATACTTATGTATACATATGTAGTCTATCTATTCCATACTAATATAACCGTTAAAACTAGGAACGAACTCAAACGAAGTGATGGTGAGTCTTTATAGTACATGATATATCCCAAATGAGAACTGTTCAAAACAATAGTCAAGATTCAAACGTATGAAAAGATTCTAGCGGGGACAGAGTACATCTCGGATAGAATTTTCTTATACCTTTGTATTTGTATTATATGTATGTATGTATGTATATATGTCTATCGAGGTTAATCTATTTGCAGAAATCACCAATAGTCAATTATTTATATACATCTACAAATGTACGTAACCACAGAATACACAATACCGAGTTCAGTCTGGAATTGAGTCATGATTAATTGGTTTACGAGTCAACGACAATCTCTTGGCTTAGCTCAAATTATAACACTATCGCAATCTGTTATGATATAAGCCATAGCGATACTGTGGTGATATTTCTAAGGAACACTACTATTATATTATATTCGAAGATACCAAGTCAAGCATCTGTGAAATAAAATCCTATAGAAATATCTATTACATACTCGTTTGTATAATAATCTTACAAATAATAATTCAACTCATTAATACCCCTCTGCTGGATATGAGCACCATGAATATAAGGCGAATTAAATTATAAACCATTACATAGGCCAAATAGAGGTTGGTGGACGTCTTTCGAAACGAATTAGGTGTTCTTATATATGCTGCTTCCCAAAAAATTGTCCTTCATCTTATTTTTAAGTGGAAATCGTGTTGTAAATAAAGTTCACACATGAAAATCTTAGAGGTGTGAGTTACTGTGGAACCCAAAATTTGAATTCCTTTCATATTGTTTCTAAAGTGAGCAATTTCCTCTGGTCTATAGTATTTTTTTATTTAAAAATGTTTCTTTTTCTGAATAAAGTACTGGTAAAATATTCTAGGGCTTGATATACCGAAAGCATATAAGGGACCATTACAGGATCACTCGTGTATCTATTTGTTTCAGCTATTTATGTTCAGGTAAAATATTAAGAAAACTCTATCTTTTTCGGTTATTTAAAAAAAACGTCAATTGTATTTCTATTATGTCCCACCGTAACATAATACTAATTCGGAGTCTAGTAATTATTTTAAAGTAAATAGTTAAAGCATATGTGTCTCATTTCAGTGTATCTATTATATAAAATGTTTGTCGCTTTCGCTTTATCCCTTTTAGTTAGTTTACCAAACCATTCAAACCTTTCAGACTATAGGCTCGGAGGTACCATGTTCCTTGCGGATGTGGTCGCATTGTACGTCTCGCGGTTTGCCACAGGTAGATTGAATTACAAAAATGTTGCGCACTTTTATAGTAGCGGCTTCTTGTCTTTGTATAATGGAGACTCTTTGAACTTTATACTGCGAAGTGCAAACCTTTTCCAGCTTTGACGGATAAGTGATGTTAAACGCTCGCGTTGGATTTTGTGGTTTTAAAAACCATTTCCAGCACAGTCAAAAATTGCTAAATATATTTCTCTAATTTTTATTAATTTCATTATCATGGATAAATTATTCTTTAGTACCTGGGCCACCGAGCTTCGCTCGGAATTCTTTTTGTTAAATCGTATATTTTAGATTAAAAAAAAACTAAAAACTTGAATAAATACAAAAAAAAAACAAAAGTAAAATCTTTGTATCCGACCGGGATTCGTACCCAGACACCTGTAATTGTCAATCTTGCGTCTTGGCCGCTTGACCACGATGCTTATACCTAATTGTGCGAAATTAGCAACCATAATTTGCGTGGAATAATGCAAAAGAAAACCGCAACCAGACATAAGACTAATCTAGATCGCCGGTATAAATACATTTTTTTTTAAATATTTATATAGATATATATGTACGTAGAGTTAGGCTTTACAGATATCTATGTGATATTCATTATCTAATCAATTCATACTCCTAATTTACAAAAAGCTTCTCTTGGGTAGATTAAATAAATTGTATTTACTCTTATACAATTATAAAGTAAAGTATAAAGTCTTAGAAGAATGTACAATCATTACCTTGTGTCTGTAAACGACAGCCATTAACTATCATCATGTGTTATAACCAACCAATAAATCTTATCAGCACTTTCTCAAATACAAACTTATGCCGGAAGCACCATGGTTTACTACAGGATTCGGGTTTGTGGGCTACCTATCCTATAAATGTACCCAAACTGACTTATGAGGGAAATATCTTTAGTAGAGCACGACATTTTACTCCTTTAGTTTATAGTTATAAGAACGAGTTTTATATAACTGGTTCTGGCAGAGGTATCCCTATCAATGATGCCGACTGTACAACCATATACGGGGCAAAGATGTACCTGCCCATATTTGTGAGCCGATAGCTATTTTAAGCTAAAGAAATATTTATGTGCTGCTTTCATTTTCGAATAGATTTAGATTTAATAATAAACAAATAAAACGGATATTTAGAAGGGTTGTGTTTTGACGTTTTATGATTGATTTGATGACTATTTATAATTATAATTACGGATCTGTTATAGAAATTAATACTTTTGAAATCGAGAAACACGTAAAAGATATTTAAAAAAATAGCATAAAATAAAAAAATATGACTGTTAAAACTGCCACGATACATGTAGGTATTTTAGAAGAAAAGTTTACTAAATACATATTCGTATACCTAGATTTTAGTTTACAGAATTTTCGTAAGAAAATGGTCAATTTTTTTGTGTTAATATTCGTTGTTAATAGCATAAATAAACATACTATTCTTCTTTAAAATAACGTACAGAGCATATCATTTTATACAAATGTATATAGATTGTAGGTGCTAGGTACAGTACAATCAAAAAAGTACTTTTTGATCGATGTAATTACTCTGAGTCTATACGTTTAAGCAATATAATTTGCTCTCACTTTGCCAATCGGACTTTCATTATATTGATGTCATGTTCGTACATTATTCGCCTTAGCACTAATGATGTGACATACAAATTGACTTGTGAGTTTCTACTTGTAAATGATTAGTTAAAATGACCTTGCGTAGGCTCATTTATTTCCATGTTAGCTGCTACCCGCGTACTCAAGTAATAAAGTATGCGTGAGTGAACTTTTAAAGGTAGATAAAAATAGAGCTAAAAGGGCAATCCCTAATATCTAAAGATAATCTAATTTTGCAAGTAAAAATACGGGATTCTCACAGGAAAGATTTGTTATAGTAGAAGAAGAGCAATTTCAGTATAAAACACTCTCATTGGAGCATAAAGAGTTTGGGTGAGAGTGAGTAATTTTTCCTATCGTGATACACGAAGAAAACCACGATTGAAAAGTAGTTTAATAATAAATATCGTGGCATTTGCTTGTATTTTAGATAATAAAAATAAATTTACTTATTCTCCATTTTCCACAAATACCGAGACATTTAATTTAAGGTCATGTTTTTAACGCCGCATTTTATCTTAATTAGATCGAGATTAATTACTTTAATTGGAAAAGATCAAATATTAAGAGACGATATAATCATAAGATCTATTGAAATATCAATCTTGACAAAGCCAATGACTCTACTGAACAGCAGTTATTTTTTGACGAAAAATAAATTGATATTTGTTAAAGAATACTATAACTTACCATTTGTTGAGGGTTCCGAGGCTTACGATGAGCTCGAGGCACCTTTTGACCTGTGACGCCTTCCAGCACATCGGCTAACAATAATCCATCGGCACAGTCGCGGGCCAGGCCTCCGCCGGAAGTACCTGCCCGACGCCGTGAGCGCGCTCGCTCCAAATAGTGGTTCGCCCAGTCAGTATAGATCTGGAAAAATAGATATTTAAAATATAATTAGATTTTTAAAATAAAACGACTAATTGAGGTAGATTAAATTACAAAATTAGACTAATAGAAGTCTTTCCACCGCTGTACTAAATATTTATTTAGTATCCTTTGGAACATCTGATGATGAGATGATAACTATAGTAACTTGAAAAAACATTTGATTCGTGTGTCTCTCTTATATATGTTATCTGAAATATTTAAAAAAGTTTAAGAGTATACCTATAATATTTATAATTTAAAAAGCGTTTAAACATAATATTCACTGAAGATAGTTACAGAGAATATTCACACAGACGACAACAGTCAAAGTACTCGATAAAAATTAAGTTATAGCTAATTACCTACACTACCATTTATCGGTATTTTACGTAATGAGCGCTTGGTGTAATTTATTTTTGTTATAGAGAAAAATGAAAGAAAAAGTAACAAACAATGCAGGTTCTATATTGAAGGTTATCTTTAAGATATACTGAACAGTCTGACTAAGCTGCGGAGTAGGTACTGAAAGTACTTTCCAAGATATCTTGACGCACAAAGAGCGGTAGATAAGACGATGCTCGTAAGATGTAAAATTGCTACTTAAACTTTAACGACATCGTTCATGTAAATATATGCACGAAAGTTTTATAGAAAGAGTACAAATACAATATAATCCCAACCGATTTGTTCTTCATACGCTATTGTTTGGAAATTCTGAATCATGAAAGAAAAATGTGCCATGGCATTAATTTTATAGCCGTGTTATCATCAGCACTTATGAGGTAATTGATGGGCTATTGTGATATATCGGCAGCTCAAAATTATGATGCGTGAGGTCATACTTAGTGAGCGTAATCTACTGAAATGAATTCTTAAAAGGATTAAGTCATATTCGCGTCAATTTGCAGAAGAATGGGGACAAGTGGAGAGTCGCGACAAAACGACGCCGAGCCGGTGCAGGAGGCACTCAGACCTCGGTGTGAAGTAATTTACTCATTCATCGCACTTGATAATTGGTAGAGGATGGACATCATTTATATCTATATGAAATTATATTTTAAAATGTGACAGTACCAATTAAAAATAGTTTGTACTTGAAGACATATTTGTATCTAAAAATCAACTAAGATAAAGGGAAATCACATACAAAATTAATAATGTCAACATAATTTATTAGACGCCTACGACTACGAAATTTAAGAATGAAGTTGGCCATCGCGACCTTACCAGCATCACCAGGGAACTGCACACGGAATTAAACTTTCAAAGAACATTGTGCAAGAGCATGAAGTACAGTCTATGATTTTTAATTTTGAAAATCATCGGACAGTAAATATGTACATCGTGCACTTAATTAACTATTATTTATTACACAGAATATGAAAATACTTTAATGATTTTTGATACGTTAAACTTAAATTCTAATGTTTAGTCATTTAGTGTGTAACCTTCTTTTTAATTTTTTATATTTTTTCATAACTGCCTCGTTTGTCTAAACTTAAGAGTTGACTATAAATACCGCTGAAATCGACCACTGAATATCCACATTTATAGATATTTTTATAAAGAAATTATCATTTATCGTATTAGTCTGGACTTAGCAATTGTTGATTTTGAAACCCCGTTTTTAGGAAAGCACGTTAATAACGCACAAAGTTCTTCAAGAGGAAATTACCCACTAACTCATTATTTTCGTCATAATTACTGAAAATTAAAGTGTTGTACGATAGAAACGATACCTTTTCAATTTCTAATATACGTTTCTCCAATGGCATCTCAACTTTCATAAAGACAAACCACATCAATTTCACCACAGCAATATCGAAACAGAAGCCATGCGGAAACTTACCGCAAATCTATCAATCACATAAAGCTGCTTTTTCTTATTATGAGTCTAAAGTCGCGTACAAACAGTTTTCAAGCTAACTTTAAATTGTTTTCTTATGATTTCTGTACACGTTGTAATCATAGTTTTAGAATTCTTACAAAAAGGTTTTTAGTTTTGACAAACTGTCATGTATGGGACGGGATATGTTAAAAAGAATTGAATTCAAATCAAGTAAGCCCAAATTCAATGATTTAATACGTTATTAAATCATGAACTCTTCGAAATAATTCTATCTAAAAGTATTGTTGAAGCTCATCTCATCCTGATTTTTTTTCCAAAACTTAAAAAAACACACACACACACACACACACCTCATTTATATGTATAGAAGTGCCGTGCCATCCACACTATTATTTTTTTGTAATTTGACTACATAATAGTCTAGCAGTTTACATGAGAAACTTACCTACCAAGTTTTAGTAATGTAAGCTCTAATAGTATTCGAGTAAAATTACATAGATAGACAGACGGACTGATAGACATGACGAAATTATAAGGATTCTGGTTTAGGCTTTTGGCTACGGAATCTTAACACTCGTACGTGACAAAAGATCGTCATATAATATTTTACATGTTATATTAAAAATACAAATTGAGGATGGGACTTTACTATAAAAATAACATAAATTATGATAATATTTAACAGCTTAACCATTCAATATCAAAATCACAATAACAGCCTAAATATTATTGTATGGATATCACGGTGGACCCATTGCCGGAGGTGTATTACCATAACAAAACGAATGACTTATCGTATAATCGAACATTTTGATACATATTTTTATATGATATTTCAAACAGGATCTTATCTACTTGAAGATGTTATCTGCTAAATCTCACGCTCGCTCATATAAATCAATTAAGATTGTTGATTTTATTGCTTTGTTGATTATTATTTTATCATGACTTTTACTTACTTAAAAGTAAATTGTTTTAATGTATAAGAGTAAAACCCATGAAAAAAGGGAAAACTATTTATTTTGAACAAGTTTTGAGTCGTATACAATAATATACCACAATAAGAAAACTAAACAACTTAAAGCTGCTATCCTTTTTTCGTTGCTGTTTAAGATAAATTTAAATGCTATTAGAGCTAAATATACTCGTAGTATGCTAGTTAATAATCAGGTAATGAGAGTAGGTATTTGATTATCATTTCTGTATATATTACGTTTTCTAGTCTAGTGCAAATTTTTATTTAGACTTCGATGAGATATCAACAAAAATTATCATATAAATTCTTATTCTTTACCTAAAAAGAATGGTAAATACCATTTTTCCTCCAAGGTCTCCAGTATGCAAGCTAAAATATTATACATATATTACTACACAAGTAAAATAACTACTAAACGCACAAAATTTTTATTTTGCAAGCAGATACGTCGTAGATCTGCCACCCTTCATTTAATGAAGCCTTTTAATTTAGTTTAATTTTTCTAAAAAGTTGTATTTAATTTTAAGTGGTTTTCTCGTGTTGCGTTTCCAGACAGACAAAAATTCTAAAAACTATAGATTATATATATATATAATTCCAAAACATATTAAACCTACAGATTCCACTCAGAATTTATTAATATGTACCTATATGAAATATATCTACATATATAGAATACCTACTATGTATGTATTTATATTTTAATATATCAAGTTACTATATTAATTTAACTGCCTCGGTGGTGTAGTGGCTAGCATGTACGACTGCACATCCGGAGGTCCTGGGTTCGAGTCCCGGGTCGGGCCAAGTTTAGTTATTGAGTCTTCCTGTATAGTAAGTCTCAGAAACAGCCCGGAGTTGGGAAGTTGGCGGTGTTTCACCCCCGTGCCTCAGAGAGCACGTAAAGCCGTCGGTCCTGCGCCTTAACTCTCACCCGGTCGTGTCGAGTGGTCGTCCCACCGGAGTATGAGAGTGATAGGAATAGAGAGTGCACTTGTGTCTGTGCGTACACTTGAGCACTATAATATCTCCTGCGCAGTTGGCTAATCTCATTGAGATTGGCCGCCGTGGCCGGAATCGGCTAGGAGAACATCATCATCATCATGTATAGTTGTAAATTAACTAAAAAATCAAATTTTCTAACAAAACAGTAGAAATCAAATCGCTTTACTACGGTACTGTAATATTTCAATTAACTACATTAATTCACAAGCTTTAGAGCGTTATATTCGTTCGTTTTGTGTATCATGTTTGCTTTAGGCATACGCCATTTTTGCTAACAGTCTAATTGTATATTTGTATATAAATTCAAAATAAACAATATCCAATATGCAGCATCATTTATTTCCCAAGCGAATCAACTGTGCACAGTTCATTAGACATTAATATTTGTGAATATAGCTCTTATATGAATACAATAAAGACTACATTCAGTAAATTTTGTATACGACTGCTATGTGGATTGTTTTCATTAAAATTTTACACGAAACTCGGTTTCAAATCTGTCATTTATAGCTTAAATGGCGATATTTTTGATGAATATAATATTTATAGCGTAATAAAAAAAATCTTGCGATAATTATGACTTTGGATTAGACTATAAGTAAATCAAAACAAGATAAAATATGTATACCTATATATATATAAAGGTTATAGTAATATAATTATTTATTAGTAAACATTAAAATAAAAAATACATTTAAAAAAATATTTCTTTTTTTTTAATGTTCAACTCTTCTTCACACTTATTATTATTGTATTTATGCGTATACAATGTAGAATTACTTAAAGTAGGTGAAAAAAGTTAATGCCTGTTAAAAAATAACTGTCGAGTGCTTTAATAGAGCCAAAATCAGAACTAATAAAAATGACAAAGCACTCAATAGACTTTAAATACAATTATAGAAATTACTCTATCAACAATTGGGTCAATTTAAACTCATACGATGGCAATCAATAAAACTGTGCATGTCTTTGACCTCTACATTCTGACAAATTTCTCTGTGTTATCTGCGAACATGATATCTTTTTTGAAACGGCTCAATTAACATATATGACCACTGGACAATAATTAAGACGTGTAAGATGTATTAAATTAATTTCTAAGATAATGTAAACGAGTTTTGATTCACTAAAAAGTAATGTTAATTACGTTATGAATTTCCCGAATTGTAACATCTGGCGAGAAAGGAATGTAATATAGATAAACAATCAAGTGTACCATAAGGTAAAAACACTCGTAAGTCTTCAATTTTTAATGCTAATAAATAGAAGAAAGATAATTGATTACCGGTAACTGTGAAATAAACTTAGAAGAGAACGCATTTGATAGTTAATTTTATAGTATCTGTGTACTTTAGCTGCTAAGGAAATTATAAAGGCCAAATGGCTATTTAATGCCTTTCGGTCTTATAGAGTTACTATAAACTGTTTCAAACTTTGTATAATTCACTTCCTTCCGTAGGTACGTACTGTTTACTATTAATATTATGTTAAAATACTTAAGCATCTATATACTAGCGACTCACCCTCACTCCGCTCGGGTTCGTCTCCACGTTTTCAGGTTAGTATAAATTTCTCAGAGATGAGATATTTTCCCGCAGTAATAAATATCCCAAATATTGACCCGGATAACCACTTATCATCATAGCAAATTTTATCAAAATCAATCCAGCTGTTTTTTCGTGATGCGTTCCCAGAAAGACAGACAGACTGACAAAAACTATAGATTTGGCCTCTGTATCGATAATAATGACTATTTCAATATGATTTTCCAAAAAATATTTAATGTACAGATTCGACTCAGAATTTTATTAGGTATATGTATAGATGAGATAGGATGCCTTTATCAGGTTTGAAAGATTACATTTTTCATATTTACATGGATTTTGAATACATACCTATGTAGTATCTACTATGTAATATAGCAATTGATCTAAGCGTAGCGGAAGCGGATTAGTAATATTATAATATTTTTTTCGGTTTTTCAGTAAGAATAAGTAAACAAACGGATATACGAATCGTAAGCCAAACGTAAATACACACTAAATGGACGAACGTTAAACGCAAATCTGGAATGGAAATGAGGTCGCAAGCTTTTAATATCTCTAGGCGCATGGTTTACTAACGGTACCGTATTGAAATTAGAAATACACCATTTAACGTCTTCAAAAGTTTGTAAATATCATGCTACAACCCAATGTAAAGGTAGACTTCAGCAGAATTATTTTCCAAACAAATTTTAATTAAGTTTATTCGATCTTCTGTTATGAAATCTTTGACATAATTGTTACTTATTAAGATTTTCAACCGATTTCCTCAAAAAGGAGGAGGTTCTTAATTCGGCTGTATGTTTTTTTTTATGTTTGTTACCTCAGAACTCCGTCATTTATTAACCGATTTGGACAATTTTTGTTTCGTTTGAAAGTGTATACTCCCAGATTGGTCCCATTTAAATTTCAAAACAACATTTCGGTGCCAGCTGATACAAAGCAAAGCACACCGACTTCGAAAATATTTGATTAGGTATGTATAGTAAATGAAAACTACCAATCAGTTATTTTTTACTTTTTAGTGCTTTTATTTGAAGTCGGTTTTTATTTTTTTGTTAAAAAGTTTTTATTGTTAGCATCTTCAGGTCAAATGTTTTTTTTTTATTTTACTGTAGAATATGCAGTAGCCATTTTAATTACTCTGTAATACTACATTAAGAATGAACTATTTTAACTAACTATTTTAGTTTTATCGTCTACGTTAGTCTCGATATATTACTAGTACTATGAAGTCACCATGGCGACCTGCCAACAGGAGTAATGTTTTGTTGCTTAGGAAATTCGCCGAAAGGTTTATGTGAACAAAATAATGGATTTAAAACGAGTTTATTTTTTTATTGGATAACCTGCTAACAACAAACATAAAAGTGAAGACATACGAATTTAAAAATTCAAATAAAATCCTAGTAATAATAAATTATATTATTCATGGGATTTTATTTAAAAACATAATAATATACTATATAACTATTAGGAGGAAGGTTAAACAAAATTAAAAAAGGACAATAATATAGAATAGAAGTAAAATAACATATTTATGTTATAATTTTTCTTTGTTTTGGTGAAGAAGGAATTTAAAGATTAATGTTTTTATTATTAATAGATTAACTTTCCGCAAAATAGACACAATAGTTAAACAATCGAAATGTTCATATATGACTCATGGGACAGGGAAACGGTTAAGTCCTAAAGGACAATAACGAGTATTTTAAAATACCAAACACTAATCTATTTAATATATAAAAAAAATCTATTGCCGTTAGTCCTAAATCGAAAAGTTTATTTTTTTATTTTGTATGGAAATCACTACGAATTATAACAATGTGTCTCAGTTAAAATTGGAAAAAATTTATGTACATACTATATGTATGTACATCTATTTATTCCATACAACAACCGTTGAAACATACCTAGGGACGAACCCGAGCGAAGCAAGGGCGAGTCGCTAGTTTATAATAAATACAATTAATGTGTATATATTGTGTATATAGATGTTCTGAATGTCCTAAAATTTATACAATATATTACTAAGATTCGATAGACGTGCGGATATGGTGAAACCATTACGCTTCCCGTTTAGCTATTTGGCTTTGGCCGCCCAAACATTTTAGCAATATTGCCTACATCCGTTTAGTCTATAGATACCATTTCATTTTACATGTAAAATTAATTTAAATACCATTAAATAAAAGATAGTTTTCATTTACCATTTCATTTTAATTCATTCATTTATACGTCCCACGGATAGGCACGGGCCTCCATTCAAAACGAGAACCATAGTCCACCACGCTAGCCAAGTGTTTCCTCAGGGTGTTTTTCTTCACCGTAAAACATGTGGTAATCATGTTAGAAATGATTCGCAATGAAAATATCAGTGGTACGAAACCCGGGATTTGAACCCATTTCACTCGGTTTCTCAAATGAGCGCGTTGCCATTGAACTACCATTGCCTCCATGGAAAATTATTATAAGTAGGTTACTGCAAATTAGGAATTTGTGAAAACATAAATTTTACCTGGACAATAGACCGCGTTTGCCGAGTGACGTCATCTGTCGAGCCCTGTATGGAACGTGGTGCTCTGATGCAAGTTGGTATCATTTTATCACACGCACATCATTATCACTGTGATTCACAATAAAGAAATAAATATCCATCAAAACACGCGCAATCAACAATTACCTACATATTAAATAATTATTATGTACTGAGCAATATTAAATTATAATAGCTAAATTAGTAATATTATAATGTGTTATTTTCCTGGTCAATCACACAAATCTGCTTTAGCAAACTCGGTTGAAAAGCGTATTACCACACGATGATAAACAAAGACCAATGTTATTTGAGCCGTCAAGCCCTTAAGTGTCTAAGACGATTCCGTCAGGTAGTTATAACTCAAGCGTGCGTCATAGTCCATGAATGAATGGGTAAGTTTGTACGATAAAGTCTTCTCGGAATATTTACTCTAGTAATCGGCGCCTACGCCCACGAGACAGCGTCATGAGTCGTGCTATACGAAACGTCGGAATAGGCCAAGACCTCCCAGCAAAAGCATTGGACTTAATAGTATTTGCGTGAATGCTCGCTAAATAAAGATTTTTATTTATTTTTCTAAGACAATAGAACCGCCTTGTACCACGAATTTATACTATACTAGCAGAACTATCCATACATATTAATTTTATTATTTTTTGAGTTTAATGTTAATTTATTATGAAAAATCAATAATAACAGTTATTTCACTAATAGAAACAATCTATAATCTAATCTCAGTCTAATAGCAAAACACCTATTGTTACTACAATTACACATACACAATTTTCGTGTAGGCGCCGTAGTCACGATTATATTGAAATGAAATAGCGGATGCTTAAAACAATGACTGAGTACCGTTTAGTGGGAGGGAAAGTAATATTATGTTTATTAGTCTTAACTCACAAAGTTAGGCGTGTAAACAACGAATTAAAATATTTTTATATATACATATATAAATTCTACATTTCACTACGTTTATTACACTAATCCATACTAATATAAATGCGAAAATAACTCTGTCTGTCTGTCTGTTACCTTTTCACGGTTAATCTGCTGAACCGATTTAGACGAAATTTGGTATGGAGACCCTGGGAAGGACATAGGATAGCCCCTTTTTATCCCGGAAATCATTCCTAAAGGATGAAAAGGAGGGTGGAGCTTTGTATGGGGAATCAGTCATTTCTCAAGTGAGGGATATAAAATTCTATACTATAGAGTCTATGTATTCCATACTAACCGTCATAAGGTATCTAGGGACGAACCGGAGTGAAGCGAGGGTGAGCCGCTAGTATTATATATGCGAAAATTTGTGAATGTATGTGTGTGTTTGTTTTTTTCATGTTTTTAGTTTAAAAATGAAGATAACTTATATCTTAGAGTATTGTTATCATGTAGGTTTTTTTAATAGACCTTCTTAGGTTATTTTTTATAATTTTTGTTCCTAACCTTTTAAAACGTAGAAGGCAAGACCGTTTCAACGCCTTTATTTCTGGGATGTAGCATACTGGTAGTATCTATAATGCCCAAGCTCATAGGTTAGATTCCCTCAAAGATTATTTATTTTTATTGATCATAAATACTTTGTTTCAATCCCGGTTAAAACTTAACGCAGCAGGTACCAGCACTCAGCAAGAATTGGACAAAAATGAAAAGATGAAAAGATTAATGTCCCAACATATTTATTTATTTAATGTTATATCAAAATTTTACTAATCACTAAACAATAGATATCAAATAAAATTATGTTCTTTGTGTGAAAATAATCATAACTTTTTGATTTCTCTCACGATACCATTGTGGTATTTAAGCTTATGTTGGTAATTATGGATGGTGCGTGGGTTTTCCTATTATAATCTCAAATGTTTCAACACCTATTTAATATTCTAATTTGAAAATGTATGTCGATAATTGATATCGTATATGATGTAAATAATTCAGTTATTTTGTTTACAAACTAGAAGTATGGACATAATGTTATTTCCTTAAAAATATGATTAAAGAAATAATTCGCGTTATAGGAGAAATTAGAATCAGAAATTCTAATATGCATATAGAAACGCTTGTGTTTAGTTAAATTCTGTTTACCTTATAAATAAAAATTATATGGAGCGCCAAAGGAAAACTATATTTTATTTATATACTGCTCACCGTGCGTTGTATAGAGTTACTGGTTGAAAATGGTCTCTATAAAAAGAAAACCGTCAAAGGAAGAGCGAAGAGGACGCGTTTCTAGCACCTCTTTGAACTTCACTGAGCCGTCTTAAAGCAGTCATCGCTGGAAGTGAGACTTAATAGTTTTAAAATTCAAACAATTGACTGTAAAAGTCACATAATATGGAAAAATGATTAAGCTATCGTAATAATATTATAAATATAATGACAGGTATCAAAATGTTTGGTAATCTAATTAACGAATGTGGGTGAAGCTAGATACTTAAGAGGGCACCGAGCTTTTTATTTTAGTGGGGCGACTGCGCGGGGGGGGGGGGGGGGGTTGCTAGGATAGACGGAACGCGTGCGAAATTAGGTATTTCCTTCATATTGTTAAAACAAATACACATTTGAAAACATAAAGTGTATATACATTATAGAAAACGTATAGTTTTGTTATTATTAAAAAAACTGACGAACTTCCTTGAATTATTTACGCCGCACTAAGGGTTTTATTTTGTTTTTTAGAGATCATTTTGGATTTTTTTTCTATGGAGGAAACTACAAGTAATCGCGTTTCTTAAAGTGTATGATCATGGTATTTTAACGAAATTATTTTAAAATTTTTTCACTGTGATATAAAAGGGGGTTAGTTAAGATATCATTTTAAAATCGTTGTATTGATATGTCAAAACTTGTTAAAATGTTAAATTAAAAAAATCATATTAATATGACGTGTGTCTAAGATTATTTGTAATAAGAGGAAACTTTTTTTCGTTTTTGTACAAGGTGCGGGCAGACATTTGTAAACATATTTAGTTTATGCAATCATAAAAATATATTAAAAGAAATTATACATCGAGAGCATTATTGCTTTTCATCACCTGTAGTAATTAGGTCACGCTCCAGCGCAGATATTTCAGGGTGTAACATATTTAAAACTACCGCTAAAATGGCGTAATGATGCGTAAAACTCATAAAAGGTGTGTTACACATCCGACCACTGTTTGTTTACTCGTGTCAAAACTTCGACACGCGTATTTATAACTGCGGAAGGTGCGCCGGAGCAACGAACTTGTGACAATCGTAAAACACGACTATTTGAGAGTCCGTTTACACTACATGGATAATCTTATGGAATACTGTTCTATTTTGTATTTCATAGTATTTTTCAAAAATACTTAGTATTAAAATCAAAGTAAATCCTGCGGTCTAGGAACTGACAAATTATCGCAAAAATAAAAATAAACTACTTAAAAGTAAAAAAAAAATTTTTTTTCTTTATACTTACTTTTAATATTTTGAAGTGAATTTTTAGCAAGTTAAATGAATTCAAAAATATTGTGTTATATCTTTCTAAAACGATATTATGTTAATCTAATGTCATGCTATATGCTTACAAAATAATGAAAATATGTATACATTTTCACGTAAACTTGTAGAAGCCAATGCTATAAACGAGATCTCACGCTAAATCTCTAAATAAAACAAAGCACTTTTAAACATTAGATAAACGCGATAGTGTGAAACAGCCATAAAAGGTTTATGAGACAGTTATCAAGTTTTATTTTAAATTATTATACAAACTTCATTAGAAGTTTTAGTCAGTAATTTTTTTTTGAAGTAAAACTTGAAAGTTGAGAGGAAAGAAAAGGATTGGCGTTACGATTTTTGTAACGGAAACGGTAGGTACATTACGAAAGTGTCGAAAGAAAAAGTTACGAAAATGTCGAAAGCGAATAGTCAATTAAAAATTATTTAAACTATTATGTGAATATTTCAAAGAATAAATTAAATATAAATAGATATTTAAAATAAACTTCATTTATTTTTAATTCAGCAATGAAATAATATCAAATGAGTATTGTTAAAAAAATATTTAGTAGTAAAAGCACAAACATATCTATCCCACGGAAACCGTTCATTTTTCCGGGATAAAAAGTAACCTGTTGTTTGACCGGCATAATAAGGTAGGTATCAGGATGCCAAATTTTGCTAAATTAGGTGCATAATTCGTTGTGTACTAAACTCTATCAGTTACTATAGTTTTTTAACTATCAGACGGGAACTCTTTAATTTTACGGGATGAAAAGTATTTAAAATGTTGACCGGGGATATAAGGTACCACCATACAAAATCAGTCCAACGGTCTCGGAGATTAGCCCGTACAAACAGACAAACAGACAGAGAAACCAAAAATTTGGAAAAATCTGGATTTGTTCTATTTCTCGTCATACATCCTCCTGACACGGTTTTTAAATTTTTTTTAAGTACAGACATTCGACCTCTACAGTTTTATTATATTCATATATATAATTTATTGAATGATTACATTTCATTGAAAATTAAATTTTATCTTAACATCATCTGTACTGTGTGAATAAAATATTGTTTTCCTTTTTAAAATATATTTTTTAATATCTATACTATCCTACTTTTTAATACATAAATTGAATTTTACAAAAAGTACCGATAGCCTACAGAAATTGCACTTCTTGCGCGTGTACACTTTGATAAACGCACTCTTTAATTCTTTTTGTTACTACATATTTTAAATGTATTATTTTCCTGATTTTCTTAGTGAGTTTAATTTTCCAAATAAAAATAGTGTGATGATTTCATGTTCGTATCTACGAGTTACATATTAACTTAATATCATTTTACATATCTATTCATATAATAAAATTGTAACGAAGCCGAATCTGTACATTAAATATTTTTTGGAAAATCTTATTGAAATAGACATAATTATCGATACAGAGGCCGAATCTATAGTTTATAGAATTTTTGTCTGGCTGTCTGTCTGTCTGTTACCGAATCACGAGAAAACCACTGGACAGATTTTGATGAAATTTGGTATGATGATAACGGGTTATCCGGGTCAACATATACATAGGATACTTTTTACCGCG